TGGTATGGGGTAAGGTAGGATGGTGATGATGGATGATGATGATGATGTCAATGATGACAATATCGATGATGTCAATGATGATGTCGATGATGATGCTGATGGATGACGATGTCGATGATGATGTCGATGATGTCAATGATGATGATGATGGATGATGATGTCGATGATGATGTCGATGATGTCAGTGATGATGATGATGGATGATGATGATGTCAATGATGATGATGGATGGTGATATCAATGATGATGTTGATGATGTCAATGATGATGATGATGGATGATGATGATGTCATTGATGATGCCAGTGATGATCTCAATGAAGATGTCGATGATGATCTTGATGATGATGATGATGATGGATGATGATATCAATGATGATGATGTTGATGATGATGTCAGTGATGGATGAGGATGTCAATGATGATGACGATGCTAACGATATACGATGATGTTGATGATGTCAATGATGATGATGATGTCAATGATGATGTCAATGACGATGATGTCAATGATGATGATGGATGATGATATCAATGATGATGTTGATGATGTCAATGATGATGATGATGTCGATGATGATGCTGATGGATGACGATGTCAATGATGATGATGTCAATGATGATGATGATGGAGGATGATGTCAATGATGATGGATGATGATGCTGATGGATGACGATGTCAATGATGATGATGATGGATGATGATGATGTCATTGATGATGCCAATGATGATCTCAATGAAGATGTCGATGATGATCTTGATGATGATGATGATGGATGATGATGACATCAATGATGATGATATCGATGATGAGGCCAATGATGATCTCAATGATGATGATGCCGATGATGGTGCCGCTAATGATGTCGATGATGATCTTGATGATGATGATGATGGATGATGACATCAACGTCGACGCTATCAATGCTGATGACGTCACCGATGACATCACCGCTGACGTCACCACCCCACCACCCCACAGGCGCCGGCGGCGAGGACTCGGCGGCGCTCATGGAGCGTCTCTGCAAGTTCATCTACGCCAAGGACCGCACGGATCGCATCCGGACCTGCGCCATCCTCTGCCACATCTACCACCACGCGCTGCACAGCCGCTGGTACCCGGCCCGAGACCTCATGCTCATGTCCCACCTGCAGGACAACATCCAGCACGCCGACCCCCCCGTGCAGGTCTGACCCACACATGGACCCATAGAGCCCATAACTTCATCCCCCATCATCCCCATTGACCCCCAAGTCTTTCCCTACCAACATCTCCATGAGGTTCCTCTTGAGTCCCACCACTCCCTGACCCCCAAGCCCTTCTCCCATTGACTTCCATTGACCCCCATTGAGTCCTATGACCCCATAGACCCCATAACTTCATCTCCCATCATCCCCATTGACCCCCAAGTCCTTCACCCCAACGTCTCCATGAGGTTCCTCTTGTGTCCCACCACTCCCAGACCCCCAAGCCCTTCTCCCATTGACTTCTATTGACACCCATTGAGTCCTATGACCCCATAGACCCCATAACTTCATCTCCCATCATCCCCATTGACCCCCAAGTCTTTCCCTACCAACATCTCCATGAGGTTCCTCTTGAGTCCCACCACTCCCCGACCCCCAAGCCCTTCTCCCATTGACTTCCATTGAGTCCTATGACCCCATAGACCCCATAACTTCATTCCCCATCATCCCCATTGACCCCCAAGTCTTTCCCTACCAACCTCTCCATGAGGGTCCTCTTGTGTCCCACCACTCCCAGACCCCCAAGTCCTTCTCCCATTGACTTCCATTGACCCCCATTGAGTCCTATGACCCCAGAGACCCCATAACTTCATCTCCCATCATCCCCATTGACCCCCAAGTCCTTCACCCCCAACGTCTCCATGAGGTTCCTCTTGTGTCCCACCACTCCCAGACCCCCAAGTCCTTCTCCCATTGACTTCCATTGACCCCCATGGAGTCCCCTCTGACCTCATAGACCCCATAACTTCATTCCCCATCATCCCATTGACCCCCAAGTCCTTCACCCCCAACGTCTCCATGAGGTTCCTCTTGAGTCCCACCACTCCCCGACCCCCAAGTCCTTTTCCTATTGACTTCCATTGACCCCCATTGAGTCCCTCTGACCCCATAGACCCCATAACTTCATCTCCCATCATCCCCATTGACCCCAAGTCTTTCCCTACCAACATCTCCATGAGGTTCCTCTAGACTCCGACTCGCTTTTTTCCATCTAAGTCCTTCTCCCATTGACCCCAACGCCTTCCCTGCCCCATAACCAACCTCACCCCACATCTCCCCCCCTTCCAGATCCTCTACAACCGCACCATGGTCAGTTGGGCATCTGCGCCTTCCGCCAAGGCCTCATCAAGGCCACCCATAGAGTCCCCATTGACACCATTGAGTCCCCATTGACCCCATTGACTTCCATTGACCCCCATTGAGTCTCTATGACCCCATAGACCCCATAACTTCATCTCCCATCATCTCCAGCACTCCATCTCCTTCTCCACCAGCATCTCAATGGGGTTCCTCTTGAGTCCCACCACTCCCCGACCCCCAAGTCCTTTTCCTATTGACTTCCATTGACCCCCATTGAGTCCCTCTGACCCCATAGACCCCATAACTTCATTCCCCATCATCCCCATTGACCCCCAAGTCTTTCCCTACCAACATCTCCATGAGGTTCCTCTAGACTCCGACTCGCTTTTTTCCATCTAAGTCCTTCTCCCATTGACCCCAACGCCTTCCCTGCCCCATAACCAACCTCACCCCACATCTCCCCCCCCTTCCAGATCCTCTACAACCGCACCATGGTCCAGTTGGGCATCTGCGCCTTCCGCCAAGGCCTCATCAAGGCCACCCATAGAGTCCCCATTGACACCATTGAGTCCCCATTGACCCCATTGACTTCCATTGACCCCCATTGAGTCTCTATGACCCCATAGACCCCATAACTTCATCTCCCATCATCTCCAGCACTCCATCTCCTTCTCCACCAGCATCTCAATGGGGTTCCTCTTGAGTCCCACCACTCCCCGACCCCCAAGTCCTTTTCCTATTGACTTCCATTGACCCCCATTGAGTCCCTCTGACCCCATAGACCCCATAACTTCATCTCCCATCATCCCCATTGACCCCCAAGTCTTTCCCTACCAACATCTCCATGAGGTTCCTCTAGACTCCGACTCGCTTTTTTCCATCTAAGTCCTTCTCCCATTGACCCCAACGCTTCCCTGCCCCATAACCAACCTCACCCCACATCTCCCCCCCCTTCCAGATCCTCTACAACCGCACCATGGTCCAGTTGGGCATCTGCGCCTTCCGCCAAGGCCTCATCAAAGACGCCCACAACGCCCTCTTGGACATCCAATCCTCCGGGCGCGCCAAGGAGCTCTTGGGTCAAGGCCTGCTCCTCCGGAGCCTCCAGGAGCGCAACCCCGAGCAGGAGAAGGTGGAGAAGAGGCGCCAGGTGCCCTTCCACATGCACGTCAACCTGGAGCTCCTCGAGTGCGTCTACCTGGTGGCCGCCATGCTCCTGGAGATCCCTTACATGGCGGCGCACGAGTTCGACGCCCGCCGCCGCATGATCAGCAAGCAGTTCCACCATCAGCTCCGCGTGGGAGAGAGGCAGCCCCTGCTCGGTGGGTGCATGGGGGGGGACCCATCGATCACTATTGGGTGGCAGTTGAGTCCCCATTGATCCCCATTGAGTCCCCATTGATCCCCATTGTTCCCCATTGGGTCCCCATTGATCCCAATTGATCCCCATTGACCTCCATTGAGTTCCCATTGAGTCCCTGTTGACCTCCATTGAGTCCCCATTGAGCTCCCGTTGACCTCCATTGAGTCCCCATTGAGTTCTCATTGATTCCCCATTGATCCCCATTGAGTCCCCATTGATCCCCATTGATCACCATTGATCCCCATTGATCCCATTGAGTTCCCATTGAGTCCCCATTGATCCCCATTGAGTCCCCATTGATCCCCATTGATCCCCATTGATCCCCATTGAGTCCCCATTGATCCCCATTGAGTCCCCATTGAGTCCCCGTTGACCTCCATTGAGTTCCCATTGAGTTCTCATTGAGTCCCCATTGGGTTCTCATTGATCCCCATTGAGTCCCCATTGATCCCCATTGATCCCCATTGATCTCCATTGAGTTCCCATTGAGTCCCTGTTGACCTCCATTGAGTCCCCATTGAGTCCCCATGTAGTCCCCATTGACCTCCATTGAGTTCCCATTGAGCTCCCGTTGACCTCCATTGAGTCCCCATTGATTCCCCATTGATCCCCATTGAGTCCCCATTGATCCCCATTGATCCCCATTGGTTCCCCATGATCAGCAAGCAGTTCCACCATCAGCTCCGCGTGGGAGAGAGGCAGCCCCTGCTCGGTGGGTGCAGATGGGACCCAGTGAAGCCCCATTGAGGCCCCATTGATTGCCATTGATCACCATTGAATCCCCATTGATCCCCATTGAGTCCCCGTTGAACTCCATTGAGTCCTCATTGAGCTCCCATTGACCCCCGTTGAGTTCCCGTTGACCTCCATTGAGTCCCCATTGAGTCCCTGTTGACCTCCATTGAGTCCCCATTGATCCCCATTGATCCCCATTGAGTCCCCATTGATCACCATTGATCCCCATTGAGTCCCCATTGATCACCATTGAGCTCCCGTTGACCTCCATTGAGTTCCCGTTGACCTCCATTGAGTCCCCATTGAGTCCCTGTTGACCTCCATTGAGTCCCCATTGATCCCCATTGAGCTCCCGTTGACTTCCATTGAGTTCCCATTGACCTCCGTTGAGTCCCCATTGAGTCCCCATTGATCCCCATTGAGTTCCCATTGAGTCCCTGTTGACCTCCATTGAGTCCCCATTGAGTCCCTGTTGACCTCCATTGAGTCCCCATTGAGTTCTCATTGATTCCCCATTGATCCCCATTGAGTTCCCATTGAGTCCCCGTTGATCCCCATTGATCCCCATTGAGTCCCCATTGATCCCCATTGATCCCCATTGAGTCCCCATTGAGTCCCTGTTGACCTCCATTGAGTTCTCATTGAGTCCCCATTGGGTTCTCATTGATCCCCATTGAGTCCCCATTGATCCCCATTGATTCCCATTGACCTCCATTGAGTTCCCATTGAGTCCCTGTTGACCTCCATTGAGTCCCCATGTAGTCCCCATTGACCTCCATTGAGTTCCCATTGAGTCCCCTGTTGACCTCCATTGAGTCCCCATTGAGTTCTCATTGATTCCCCATTGATCCCCATTGAGTCCCCATTGATCCCCATTGATCCCCATTGGGTCCCCATGATCAGCAAGCAGTTCCACCATCAGCTCCGCGTGGGAGAGAGGCAGCCCCTGCTCGGTGGGTGCATGGGGGGGGACCCATCGATCACTATTGGGTGGCAGTTGAGTCCCCATTGATCCCCATTGAGTCCCCATTGATCCCCATTGTTCCCCATTGGGTCCCCATTGATCCCAATTGATCCCCATTGACCTCCATTGAGTCCCCATTGAGTCGCCGTTGATCCCCATTGATCCCCATTGAGTCCCCGTTGACCTCCATTGAGTCCCCATTGATCCCCATCGATCCCCATTGATCCCCATTGATCCCCATCGATCCCCATTGATCCCCATTGAGTCCCCATTGATCCCCATTGTTCCCCATTGGGTCCCCATTGATCCCAATTGATCCCCATTGACCTCCATTGAGTTCCCATTGAGTCCCTGTTGACCTCCATTGAGTCCCCATTGAGCTCCCGTTGACCTCCATTGAGTCCCCATTGAGTTCTCATTGATTCCCCATTGATCCCCATTGAGTCCCCATTGATCCCCATTGATCCCCATTGATCCCCATTGAGTTCCCATTGAGTCCCCATTGATCCCCATTGAGTCCCCATTGATCCCCATTGAGTCCCCATTGAGTCCCCGTTGACCTCCATTGAGTTCCCATTGAGTTCTCATTGAGTCCCCATTGGGTTCTCATTGATCCCCATTGAGTCCCCATTGATCCCCATTGATCCCCATGGGGTCCCCATGATCAGCAAGCAGTTCCACCATCAGCTCCGCGTGGGAGAGAGGCAGCCCCTGCTCGGTGGGTGCAGATGGGACCCAGTGAAGCCCCATTGAGGCCCCATTGATTGCCATTGATCACCATTGAATCCCCATTGATTCCCCATTGAGTCCCCGTTGAACTCCATTGAGTCCTCATTGAGCTCCCATTGACCCCCGTTGAGTTCCCGTTGACCTCCATTGAGTCCCCATTGAGTCCCTGTTGACCTTCATTGAGTCCCCATTGAGTCCCTGTTGACCTCCATTGAGTCCCCATTGATCCCCATTGATCCCCATTGAGTCCCCATTGACCCATTGATCCCCATTGAGTCCCTGTTGACCTCCATTGAGTCCCCATTGAGTCCCCATTGAGTCCCCATTGATCCCCATTGACTTCCATTGAGTTCCCATTGACCTCCGTTGAGTCCCCATTGAGTCCCCATTGAGTCCCCATTGATCCCCATTGATCCCCATTGATCCCCATTGGGTCCCCATGATCAGCAAGCAGTTCCACCATCAGCTCCGCGTGGGAGAGAGGCAGCCCCTGCTCGGTGGGTGCATGAGGGGGGCCCATCGATCACTATTGGGTGGCAGTTGAGTCCCCATTGATCCCCATTGAGTCCCCATTGATCCCCATTGATCCCCATTGATCCCCATTGAGTCCCTGTTGACCTCCATTGAGTCCCCATTGAGTCCCCATTGATCCCCATTGAGTCCCCATTGATCCCCATTGAGTCCCCATTGATCCCTATTGAGTTCTCATTGATCCCCATTGATCTCCATTGAGCCCCATTGAGTGCACATTGAGTCCCCATTGATCCCCATTGATCCCCATTGAGTCCCCCTTGAGTCCCCATTGATCCCCATTGAGTCCCCATCGATCCCCATTGATCCCCATTGAGTCCCCATTGATCCCCATTGATCCCCATTGAGTTCTCATTGATCCCCATTGATCCCCATTGATCCCCATTGATCCCCATTGAGTTCTCATTGATCCCCATTGATCCCCATTGATCCCCATTGATCCCCATTGATCCCCATTGATCCCCATCGATCCCCATTGATCCCCCTTGAGTCCCCATTGATCCCCATTGAGTTCCCATTGAGTTCCCATTGAGTCCCCATTGATCCCCATCGATCCCCATTGATCCCCATTGAGTCCCCATTGATCCCCATTGATCCCCATCGATCCCCATTGATCCCCATTGAGTCCCCATTGATCCCCATTGATCCCCATCAATCCCCATTGATCCCCATTGAGTCCCCATTGATCCCCATCGATCCCCATTGATCCCCATTGAGTCCCCATTGATCCCCATCGATCCCCATTGATCCCCATTGATCCCCATCGATCCCCATTGATCCCCATCAAACCCCATTGATCCCCATTGATCCCCATTGAGTCCCCGTTGGGTCCCCATTGATCCCAATTGATCCCCATTGATCCCCATTGAGTCCCCATCGATCCCCATTGAGCCCCATTGATCCCCACTGCATCCCCTTTGATCCCCATTGAGTCAATCAGTGGGGTGCTCTTGGTCAGTCTATGGGGCACTCTATGGGTTCATGTATGGGGCTCTCTATGGGGTCACATCTCTGGGTCAATCTATGGGGCTCTCTATGGGGCCATGTATGGGGCTCTCTATGGGGTCACATCTCTGGGTCAATGTATGGTGCTCTCTATGGGTCACATATCTGGGTCAATCTATGGGGCTCTGGGTCAATCTATGGGGCTCTCTCTGGCTCCCCCACATCTCTGGCTCAATCTATGGGGCTTTCTGTGGGTCAATCTATGGGACTCTCTCTGGCTCCATGTATGGGGCTCTCTATGGATCAATCTATGGGGCTCTCTCTGTCTCCCCACATCTATGGGTCAATCTATGGGTCAATCTATGGGTCAATCTATGGGGCTCTGGGTCAATCTATGGGGCACTCAATCTATGGGTCTCTCTCTGGCTCCCCACATCTCTAGGTCAATCTATGGGTCACATCTCTGGGTCAATCTATGGGGCTCTGGGTCAATCTATGGGGCACTCAATCTATGGGTCTCTCTCTGGCTTCCCACATCTCTAGGTCAATCTATGGGTCACATCTCTGGGTCAATCTATGGGGCTATCTGTGGGGGGGGTCGCATTTCTAGGTCAATCTATGGGGCTCTCTCTGGGGGCGGGTCACATTTCTGGGTCAATCTATGGGGCACTCAATCTATGGGGCTCTCTCTGGGTCAATCTATGGGGCTCTCTATGGGTCACATCTCTGAGTCAATCTATGGGGCTCTCTATGGGTCACATCTCTAGGTCAATCTATGGGGCACTCAATCTATGGGTCTCTCTCTGGCTCCTCACATCTCTAGGTCAATCTATGGGGCTCTCTATGGGTCACATCTCTGAGTCAATCTATGGGGCTCTCTATGGGTCACATCTCTAGGTCAGTCTATGGGGCACTCAATCTATGGGTCTCTCTCTGGCTCCTCACATCTCTAGGTCAATCTATGGGGCTCTCTATGGGTCACATCTCTGAGTCAATCTATGGGGCTCTCTATGGGTCACATCTCTAGGTCAATCTATGGGGCACTCAATCTATGGGTCTCTCTCTGGCTCCTCACATCTCTAGATCAATCTATGGGGCTCTCTATGGGTCACATCTCTGAGTCAATCTGTGGGGCTCTCTATGGGTCACATCTCTGAGTCAATCTATGGGGCTCTCTATGGGTCACATCTCTAGGTCAATCTATGGGGCACTCAATCTATGTGTCTCTGGCTCCTCACATCTCTAGGTCAATCTATGGGGCTCTCTATGGGTCACATCTCTGAGTCAATCTATGGGTCACATCTCTAGGTCAATCTATGGGTCACATATCTGGGTCAACCTATGGGGCTCTGGGTCAATCTATGGGGCACTCAATCTATGGGTCTCTCTCTGGCTCCCCACACCTCTGGGTCAATCTATGGGTCAATCTGTGGGTCAATCTATGGGGCTCTGGGTCAATCTATGGGGCACTCAATCTATGGGTCTCTCTCTGGCTCCCCACATCTCTAGGTCAATCTATGGGTCACATCTCTGGGTCAATCTATGGGGCTCTCTATGGGTCACATCTCTGAGTCAATCTATGGGGCTCTCTATGGGTCACATCTCTGAGTCAATCTATGGGGCTCTCTATGGGTCACATCTCTGAGTCAATCTATGGGGCTCTCTATGGGTCACATCTCTAGGTCAATCTATGGGGCACTCAATCTATGGGTCTCTCTCTGGCTCCCCACATCTCTGGGTCAATCTATGGGGCTCTCTCTGGGTCACATCTCTGAGTCAATCTATGGGGCTCTCTATGGGTCACATCTCTGAGTCAATCTATGGGGCTCTCTATGGGTCACATCTCTAGGTCAATCTATGGGGCACTCTATGGGTCACATCTCTGAGTCAATCTATGGGGCTCTCTATGGGTCACATCTCTGAGTCAATCTATGGGGCTCTCTATGGGTCACATCTCTGAGTCAATCTATGGGGCTCTCTATGGGTCACATCTCTAGGTCAATCTATGGGGCACTCAATCTATGGGTCTCTCTCTGGCTCCCCACATCTCTGGCTCAATCTATGGGTCACATCTCTCCCGCCCCACAGGACCCCCGGAATCCATGCGCGAGCACGTGGTGGCCGCCTCCAAGGCCATGAAGATGGGTGATTGGCGGAGCTGCCATCGCTACGTGGTCAACGAGAAGATGAATGGCAAAGTGTGGGACCTCTTCCCCGAGGCCGACAAGGTCCGCGCCATGCTCGTCCGGTGAGTTGGGGGGCAGTGGGGGGCAATGGGGGGCAATGGGGGTCAATGGGGATCCAGTTGGGTCAATGGAAGTCAATGGGGGTCAATGGGAGTCAATGGGAGTCAATGGGGGTCAATGGGAGTCAATGGGGGTCAATGGTCAATGGGGATCCAGTTGGGTCAATCGGGGTCAATGGAGGTCAATGGGGGTCAATGGGGGTCAGTGGGAGTCAATGGGGGTCAATGGAGGTCAATGGGGGTCAATGGGGGTCAATGGGAGTCAATGGAGGTCAATGGGAGGCAGTGGGGGTCAATGGTCAATGGGGATCCAGTTGGGTCAATGGGGGTCAATGGGAGTCAGTGGGGGTCAATGGGAGTCAATGGGGGTCAATGGAGGTCAATGGGAGTCAATGGGGGTCAATGGGAGTCAATGGAGGTCAATGGAAGTCAATGGGAGTCAATGGAGGTCAATGGGGGACAATAGGGGTCAATGGGGGTCAGTGGGAGTCAATGGAGGTCAATGGGAGTCAATGGAGGTCAATGGGAGTCAATGGAGGTCAGTGGTCAATGGGGATCCAGTTGGGTCAATGGAGGTCAATGGGAGTCAATGGGGGCAATGGGGGTCAATGGTCAATGGGGATCCAGTTGGGTCAATGGGGGTCGATCGAGGTCAATGGGAGTCAATGGGGGTCAATGGAGGTCAATGGGGGTCGATCGAGGTCAATGGGAGTCAATGGAGGTCAGTGGTCAATGGGGATCCAGTTGGGTCAATGGGGGTCAATGGGAGTCAATGGGGGTCAATGGAAGTCAATGGAAGTCAATGGGAGTCAATGGAGGTCAATGGGAGTCAATGGGGGTCAATGGGAGTCAGTGGGGGGCAGTGGGAGTCAATGGGGGTCAATGGTCAATGGGGATCCAGTTGGGTCAATGGGGGTCGATCGAGGTCAATGGGAGTCAATGGAGGTCAGTGGTCAATGGGGATCCAGTTGGGTCAATGGGAGTCAATGGGGGTCAATGGGGGTCAATGGGAGTCAATGGGGGTCAATGGGAGTCAATGGAGGTCAATGCTGAGGCAGTGGGGGTCAATGGTCAATGGGGATCCAGTTGGGTCAATGGGAGTCAATGGGAGTCAATGGGGGTCAATGGGGGTCAATGGAAGTCAATGGGAGTCAATGGGAGTCAATGGGGGTCAATGGGGGTCAATGGGAGTCAATGGGGGTCAATGGGAGTCAATGGGAGTCAATGGGGGTCAATGGGAGTCAATGGGAGTCAATGGGGGTCAATGGGGGTCAATGGGAGTCAATGGGAGTCAATGGGGGTCAATGGGAGTCAATGGGGGTCAATGGGGGTCAATGGGAGTCAATGGGGGTCAATGGGGGTCAATGGGAGTCAATGGGAGTCAATGGGGGTCAATGGAGGTCAATGGGAGTCAATGGGGGTCAATGGGGGTCAATGGGAGTCAATGGGAGTCAATGGGGGTCAATGGGAGTCAATGGGAGTCAATGGGGGTCAATGGGGGTCAATGGGAGTCAATGGGGATCCAATGGAGTCAATGGTGCTCAATGGGGTGGGGGGGGTTCTCAATGGGGCTCAATGGGGTGGGGGGGTTCTCAATGGGGCGGGGGGGTTCTCAATGGGGCTCAATGGGGTGGGGGAGTTCTCAATGGGGTGGGGTGGGGGGGGTCTCAATGGGGCTCCCCATTGAGGTCCACTTGGGGGTCCCGTGACCCCATAGGAAGATCCAGGAGGAATCGCTCCGGACCTACTTGTTCACCTACAGCAGCGTCTACGACTCCATCAGGTGGGGCGCTATGGGGCAGCGGGGACATCTATGGGGCTGGCCGTGGGTATCTATGGGGTTGGGTATGGGGATCTATGGGGTTGGGTATGGGTATCTATGGGGTTGGCCATGGGTATCTATGGGGTTGGGTATGGGTATCTATGGGGCTGGCCATGGGTATCTATGGGGCTGGCCATGGGTGTCTATGGGGTTGGGTATGGGTATCTATGGGGTTGGCCATGGGTATCTATGGGGTTGGGTATGGGTATCTATGGGGTTGGGTATGGGTATCTATGGGGCTGGCCATGGGTGTCTATGGGGCTGGCCATGGGTGTCTATGGGGATGGCCATGGGTATCTATGGGGTTGGGTATGGGTGTCTATGGGGCTGGGTATGGGTGTCTATGGGGTTGGCCATGGGTATCTATGGGGTTGGGTATGGGTATCTATGGGGTTGGGTATGGGTATCTATGGGGTTGGGTATGGGTATCTATGGGGCTGGGTATGGGTATCAATGGGGCTGGCCATGGGTATCTATGGGGCTGGCCATGGGTATCTATGGGGCTGGCCATGGGCATCTGTGGGGCTGGCAATGGGTATCTATGGGGCTGGCCATGGGTGTCTATGGGGCTGGCCATGGGTATCTATGGGGTTGGGTATGGGTATCTATGGGGTTGGGTATGGGTATCTATGGGGCTGGCCATGGGTATCTATGGGGTTGGGTATGGGTATCTATGGGGTTGGGTATGGGTATCTATGGGGCTGGCCATGGGTATCTATGGGGTTGGGTATGGGTATCTATGGGGTTGGGTATGGGTATCTATGGGGTTGGCCATGGGTGTCTATGGGGCTGGCCATGGGTGTCTATGGGGTTGGGTATGGGTATCTATGGGGCTGGGTAGGGGTATCTATGGGGTTGGCCATGGGTGTCTATGGGGCTGGCCATGGGTGTCTATGGGGTTGGGTATGGGTATCTATGGGGCTGGGTATGGGTATCTATGGGGCTGGCCATGGGTATCTATGGGGTTGGGTATGGGTATCTATGGGGCTGGGTAGGGGTATCTATGGGGCTGGCCATGGGTATCTATGGGGCTGGCCATGGGTATCTATGGGGTTGGGTATGGGTATCTATGGGGTTGGGTATGGGTATCTATGGGGTTGGGTATGGGTATCTATGAGGTTGGCCATGGGTATCTATGGGGTTGGGTATGGGGTATCTATGGGGTTGGGTATGGGTATCTATGGGGCTGGCCATGGGTATCTATGGGGCTGGCCATGGGTATCAATGGGGTTGGGTATGGGGATCTATGGGCTGGGTATGGGTATCTATGGGGCTGGCCATGGGTGTCTATGGGGCTGGCCATGGGTGTCTATGGGGATGGCCATGGGTATCTATGGGGTTGGGTATGGGTGTCTATGGGGCTGGGTATGGGTGTCTATGGGGTTGGCCATGGGTATCTATGGGGTTGGGTATGCGTGTCTATGGGGTTGGGTATGGGGTATCTATGGGGCTGGGTATGGGTATCTATGGGGTTGGGTATGGGTATCTATGGGGTTGGGTATGGGTATCTATGGGGCTGGCCATGGGTATCTATGGGGTTGGGTATGGGTATCTATGGGGTTGGGTATGGGTATCTATGGGGCTGGGTATGGGTATCTATGGGGCTGGCCATGGGTATCTATGGGGTTGGCCATGGGTATCTATGGGGTTGGGTATGGGTATCTATGGGGTTGGGTATGGGGATCTGTGGGGCTGGCCGTGGGTATCTATGGGGTTGGCCATGGGTATCTATGGGGTTGGGTATCGGTATCTATGGGGTTGGGTATGGGTATCTATGGGGCTGACCCTGCCCATCTATGGGGCTACCCCTCCCATCTATGGGGCTGACCCTGTCCCTGCCCCATAGCATGGAGATCCTCTCGGCCATGTTTGAGCTGGACCTCCCCACGGTGCACAGCATCATCAGCAAGATGATCATCAACGAGGAGCTCATGGTGAGCCCCATAGGCCCCCTACTTATGGGGCAGGGGACCCATAGCGCGTCCCAAGGGGTCCCAATGGGGCGGGGGGGGGGGGGGGGGGGTTTCAATGGGGCGGGAGGTGCTGTGGGTCTATGGGGGGGTTAAGGGGATGGAGGGCTGGGAGCTATGGGGCGGCCCCATAGGGGTGGGGCTGGGTGGGGATGTGGTCTATGGGGCAGCCCCATAGACGTAGGTGATGCGATGGGGTGTCTATGGGGCTGAAGGGGGTGTGAGCTATGGGGCAGCCCCATAGAAGTAGGTGATGCGATGCGGTGTCTATGGGGCTGAAGGTGATGTGAGCTATGGGGCAGCCCCATAGACGTAGGTGATGCGATGGGGTGTCTATGGGGCTGAAGGGGGTGTGAGCTATGGGGCAGCCCCATAGACGTAGGTGATGCGATGGGGCGTCTATGGGGCTGAAGGGGGTGTGGTCTATGGGGCAGCCCCATAGACGTAGGTGATGCGATGGGGTGTCTATGGGGCTGAAGGGGGTGTGAGCTATGGGGCAGCCCCATAGACGTAGGTGATGCGATGGGGTGTGTCTATGGGGCTGAAGGGGATGTGAGCTATGGGCAGCCCCATAGACGTAGGTGATGCGATGGGGTGTCTATGGGGCTGAAGGGGGTGTGGTCTATGGGGCAGCCCCATAGACGTAGGTGATGCGATGGGGTGTCTATGGGGCTGAAGGGGGTGTGAGCTATGGGGCAGCCCCATAGAAGTAGGTGATGCGATGGGGTGTCTATGGGGCTGAAGGGGATGTGAGCTATGGGGCAGCCCCATAGACGTAGGTGATGCGATGGGGTGTCTATGGGGCTGAAGGGGGTGTGAGCTATGGGGCAGCCCCATAGACGTAGGTGATGCGATGGGGTGTCTATGGGGCTGAAGGGGATGTGAGCTATGGGGCAGCCCCATAGAAGTAGGTGATACGATGGGGTGTCTATGGGGCTGAAGGGGGTGTGAGCTATGGGGCAGCCCCATAGAAGTAGGTGATACGATGGGGCGTCTATGGGGCTGAAGGGGGTGTGAGCTATGGGGCAACCCCATGGATATGGGGCTGAAGGGGATGTGAGCTATGAGGCAGGAGGGTGGCGTTGTCTATGGGGCAGCCCTATAGAAAGGGGTCTGAAGATTGATGCGATGGAGCTCTGGGGCAGCCCCACAGCAATGGGTCTGGGTGGGGATGTGCTCTATGGGGCAGCCCCATAGCGCTGTGTCCATGTGGCATGTTTGCTATGGGTCTGGTGGTGCTGTGCTCTATGGGGCATCCCTATAGCAGTGATGCTGCAGGCCGATGCTCTCACCTATGGGGCAGCCCCATAGCACGGTATTGGGTGGGCTGTTACTTATGGGGCAGCCCCATAGCGGCGCACTATGGCAGTGAGGATGCTCTGATGGACACCGCATCCCCATTGCATTGCATTGGACCCCTTCCCTATGACTTGTGGGGCTCGCTATGGGGCAGCCCCATAGCCCTTCATTGGAGCTCTTCCCTATGACTTGTGGGGCTCGCTGTGGGGCAGCCCCATAGCCTTTAATTGGAGCTCTTCCCTATGACTTGTGGGGCTCGCTGTGGGGCAGCCCCATAGCCTTTAATTGGAGCCCTTCCCTATGACTTGTGGGGCTCGCTATGGGGCAGCCCCATAGCCTTTAATTGGAGCCCTTCCCTATGACTTGTGGGGCTCGCTATGGGGCAGCCCCATAGCGTTACCTTGGAGCCCTTCCCTATGACTTGTGGGGCTCGCTATGGGGCAGCCCCATAGCATTACCCTATGCTTAGATCACAGTGGTACCCTATGGCAGTGAGGATGCTCTGATTGATGCCGCATCCCCATAGCCTTACATTGGATCCCTTCCCTATGACTTGGGGGGCTGGCTATGGGGCAGCCCCATAGCGTTACCTTGGAGCCCTTCCCTATGCCTTGGGGGGCTCGCTATGGGGCAGCCCCATAGCCCTTCATTGGAGCTCTTCCGTATGACTTGTGGGGCTCGCTATGGGGCAGCCCCATAGCCCTTCATTGGAGCTCTTCCCTATGACTTGTGGGGCTCGCTATGGGGCAGCCCCATAGCGTTACCCTATGCTTACATCACAGTGGTACCCTATGGCAGTGAGGATGCTCTGATTGACGCCGCATCCCCATTGCATTGCATTGGGGCTCTTCCCTGTGACTTGTGGGGCTCGCTATGGGGCAGCCCCATAGCGTTACCTTGGAGCCCTTCCCTATGCCTTGGGGGGCTCGCTATGGGGCAGCCCCATAGCGTTACCCTATGCTTACATCACAGTGGTACCCTATGGCAGTGAGGATGCTCTGATTGACGCCGCATCCCCATTGCATTGCATTGGGGCTCTTCCCTGTGACTTGTGGGGCTCGCTATGGGGCAGCCCCATAGCGTTACCTTGGAGCCCTTCCCTATGCCTTGGGGGGCTCGCTATGGGGCAGCCCCATAGCGTTACCCTATGCTTAGATCACAGTGGTACCCTATGGCAGTGAGGATGCTCTGATGCACACCGCATCCCCATTGCATTGCATTGGATCCCTACCCTATGACTTGTGGGGCTGGCTATGGGGCAGCCCCATAGCCCTTCATTGGTGCTCTTCCCTATGACTTGGGGGGCTCGCTATGGGGCAGCCCCATAGCGTTACCCTCTGCTTAGATCACAGTGGTACCCTATGGCAGTGAGGATGCTCTGATTGACGCCGCATCCCCATTGCATTGCATTGGGGCTCTTCCCTATGACTTGTGGGGCTCGCTATGGGGCAGCCCCATAGCCCTTCATTGGAGCTCTTCCCTATGACTTGTGGGGCTCGCTATGGGGCAGCCCCATAGCGTTACCCTATGCTTAGATCACAGTGGTACCCTATGGCAGTGAGGATGCTCTGATGGACACCGCATCCCCATTGCATTGCATTGGGGCTCTTCCCTATGCCTTGTGGGGCTCGCTATGGGGCAGCCCCATAGCCCTTCATTGGAGCCCTTTCTTTTGCCTCAGGGAGCTCGCTATGGGGCAGCCCCATAGCGTTACCCTCTGCTTAGATCACAGTGGTACCCTATGGCAGTGAGGATGCTCTGATGGACACCGCATCCCCATTGAATTGCATTGGGGCTCTTCCCTATGACTTGTGGGGCTCGCTATGGGGCAGCCCCATAGCGTTACCCTATGCTTAGATCACAGTGGTACCCTATGGGAGTGAGGATGCTCTGATTGATGCCGCATCCCCATTGCATTGCATTGGAGCCCTTCCCTATGACTTGTGGGGCTCGCTATGGGGCAGCCCCATAGCCCTTCATTGGAGCTCTTCCCTATGACTTGGGGGGCTCGCTATGGGGCAGCCCCATAGCGTTACCCTATGCTTAGATCACAGTGGTACCCTATGGCAGTGAGGATGCTCTGATGGACACCGCATCCCCATTGCATTGCATTGGGGCTCTTCCCTATGACTTGTGGGGCTCGCTATGGGGCAGCCCCATAGCCCTTCATTGGAGCTCTTCCCTATGACTTGTGGGGCTCGCTATGGGGCAGCCCCATAGCGTTACCCTATGCTTAGATCACAGTGGTACCCTATGGCAGTGAGGATGCTCTGATTGACGCCGCATCCCCATTGCATTGCATTGGGGCTCTTCCCTATGACTTGGGGGGCTCGCTATGGGGCAGCCCCATAGCCCTTCATTGGAGCTCTTCCCTATGACTTGGGGGGCTCGCTATGGGGCAGCCCCATAGCCCTTCATTGGAGCTCTTCCCTATGACTTGTGGGGCTCGCTATGGGGCAGCCCCATAGCGTTACCCTATGCTTACATCACAGTGGTACCCTATGGCAGTGAGGATGCTCTGATTGACGCCGCATCCCCATTGCATTGCATTGGGGCTCTTCCCTATGACTTGTGGGGCTCGCTATGGGGCAGCCCCATAGCTCTTCATTGGATCCCTTTCTTATGACTTGGGGGGCTCGCTATGGGGCAGCCCCATAGCGTTACCCTATGCTTAGATCACAGTGGTACCCTATGGCAGTGAGGATGCTCTGATTGACGCCGCATCCCCATAGCCTTACATTGGATCCCTTCCCTATGACTTGTGGGGCTCGCTATGGGGCAGCCCCATAGCCCTTCATTGGAGCTCTTCCGTATGACTTGTGGGGCTCGCTATGGGGCAGCCCCATAGCGTTACCCTATGCTTACATCACAGTGGTACCCTATGGCAGTGAGGATGCTCTGATTGACGCCGCATCCCCATTGCATTGCATTGGAGCCCTACCCTATGACTTGTGGGGCTCGCTATGGGGCAGCCCCATAGCCCTTCTTTGGAGCCCTTTCTTACGCCTCAGGGAGCTCGCTATGGGGCAGCCCCATAGCGTTACCCTATGCTTAGATCACAGTGGTACCCTATGGCAGTGAGGATGCTCTGATGCACACCGCATCCCCATTGCATTGCATTGGATCCCTTCCCTATGACTTGTGGGGCTCGCTATGGGGCAGCCCCATAGCCCTTCATTGGAGCTCTTCCCTATGACTTGGGGGGCTCGCTATGGGGCAGCCCCATAGCGTTACCCTATGCTTCGATCACAGTGGTACCCTATGGCAGTGAGGATGCTCTGATTGACGCCGCATCCCCATTGCATTGCATTGGGGCTCTTCCCTATGACTTGTGGGGCTCGCTATGGGGCTGCCCCCTAAGCGCCGCCCCTCCTGCCCCATAGGCGTCCCTGGACCAGCCCACGCAGACGGTGCAGATGCATCGCACGGAGCCCACCCCCCAACAGAACCTGGCCCTGCAATTGGCTGAGAAGTTGGGGACCCTCATGGAGAACAACGAGCGCGTCCTGGACCACAAACAGGGCTCCTATGGGGGGTACTTCCGAGGTGGGACCCATAGCGACCCATAGCGACCCATAGAGACCCATAGGGACCCATAGAGACACATAGGGACACATAGGGACCCATAGCAACCCATAGGGACCCATAGAGACCCATAGAGACCCATAGGGACCCATAGAGACACATAGGGACACATAGAGACCCATAGCGACCCATAGGGACACATAGAGACCCATAGAGACACATAGAGACACATAGCGACCCATAGGGACCCATAGAGACCCATAGAGACACATAGGGACACATAGGGACCCATATACACCCCATAGATCTCTGCCCCATAAATCCCACCCTGTAGATCTCACCCCATAGATCCCACCCCATAGCTCCTGCCCCATAGATCTCTGCCCCATAGATCCCACCTTATAGATCCCACCCCATAGCTCCTGCCCCATAGATCTCTGCCCCATAGATCCCACCTTAGAGATCCCACCCCATAGCTCCTGCCCCATAGATCTCTTCCCCATAGATCCCTGCCCCATAGATCCCACCTTATAGATCCTGCCCCATAGATCCCACCCCATAGCTCTTGCCCCATAGATCTCTGCCCCATAGATCCCACCTTATAGATCCTGCCCCATAGATTTCTGCCCCATAAATCCCACCCTGTAGATCCCGCCCCATAGATCCCACCCCATAGCTCCTGCCCCATAGATCTCTGCCCCATAGATCCCACCCTGTAGATCCTGCCCCATAGCTCCTACCCAATAGATCCCGCCCCATAGCTCCTGCCCCATAGATCTCTGCCCCATAAATCCCACCCTGTAGATCCCGCCCCATAGATCCCACCCCATAGATCCTGCCCCATAGATCTCTGCCCCATAGATCTCTGCCCCATAAATCCCTGTAGATCTCACCCCATAGATCCCACCTCATAGCTCCTGCCCCATAAATCCCACCCTGTAGCTCCTGCCCCATAGATCTCTGCCCCATAAATCCCACCCTATAGTTCCCACCCCACAGATCCCACCCCATAGCTCCTGCCCCATAAATCCCACCCTGTAGATCCTGCCCCATAGATCTCTGCACCATAGCTCCTGCCCCATAGATCTCTGCCCCATAGATCCCACCTTACAGATCCCACCCCATAGCTCCTGCCCCATAGATCCCACCCCATAGCTCCTGCCCCATAGATCCCACCCCATAGCTCCTGCCCCATAGATCTCTGCCCCATAAATCCCACCCTGTAGATCCCGACCCATAGATCCCACCCCATAGATCCTGCCCCATAGATCTCTGCCCCATAGATCTCTGCCCCATAAATCCCTGTAGATCTCACCCCATAGATCCCACCCCATAGCTCCTGCCCCATAAATCCCACCCTGTAGCTCCTGCCCCATAGATCTCTGCCCCATAGCTCCTGCCCCATAGATCTCTGCCCCATAAATCCCACCCTATAGTTCCCACCCCACAGATCCCACCCCATAGCTCCTGCCCCATAGATCTCTGCCCCATAAATCCCACTCTATAGTTCCCACCCCATAGATCCCACCCCATAGCTCCTGCCCCATAGATCTCGCCCCATAGATCCCACCTTACAGATCCCACCCCATAGCTCCTGCCCCATAGATCCCACCTCATAGCTCCTGCCCCATAGATCTCTGCCCCATAAATCCCACCCTGTAGATCCTGCCCCATAGATCCCACCCCATAGCTCCTGCCCCATAGATCTCTGCCCCATAAATCCCACCCCATAGATCCTGCCCCATAGATCTCTGCCCCATAGCTCCTGCCCCACATCTCACCCCTCTTTCTCGCCCCATAGACCAGAAGGACGGGTACCGCAAAGGGGATGGAGGATACCTGAGACGCGGCGGCTACCGGCAACAGGAACGAGGCTCCAACTACTGACCCATAGCGCCCCATAGCCTGCCCCATAGCGCCCCATAGCCTGCCCCATAGCCTGCCCCATAGCCTGCCCCATAGCATCCCATAGCGCCCCATAGCGCCCCATAGCCTGCTTCATAGCCCACCCCATAGCCTGCCCCATAGCGCCCCATAGCCTGCCCCATAGCCTACCCCATAGCACTCCCCATAGCGCTCCCCATAGTGCCCCATAGCCACAACCTCTCTCCCCCATAAGCCCCATTATGGGCAGCATTGGCCCATATGGGGCTGAGTGAATGGTGGTGGTGGACCCCTGCCCCATAGCGCACCCCATTGATTGCCCCATAGCGCTGAACCGTAGAGAATAAAGCATCCCATGAGCTCGTTGTGATGTGTGTGGGGCTGAGTTAATGGGGGGTGATGGGGGGCGGGGGGGAGGGTGGGTTGGAACCTGCCCCATAGCGCCGCATTGCGTGCCCCATTGTGTGCCCCACGGCATGCCCCATAGCGTGTCCCATAGCCCTGCCCATAGCGTGCCCCATAGCGCGCCCCATAGAGCTGCCACATAGTGTGCCCCATAGCACTGCACAGTGTGCCCCATAGCATGCCTCATGGCGTGCCCCATAGCGTGCCCCATAGCACGCCCCATAGCGTGCCCCATAGTGTGCCCCTTAGCACGCCCCATAGTGTGCCCCATAGCACACCCCATAGCGTGCCTCATGGTGTGCCCCATAGCGTGCCCCATAGCGTGCCCCATAGCGTGCCCCATAGCGTGCCTCATGGCGTGCCCCATAGCGTGCCCCATAGCACGCCCCATAGCACGCCCCATAGTGTGCCCCATAGCACGCCCCACAGTGTGCCCCATAGCACGCCCCATAGCGTGCCCCATAGTGTGTCTCATGGTGTGCCCCACAGCGTGCCCCATAGCACGCCCCATAGTGTGCCCCATAGCACGCCCCATACCGTCCCCCATAGTGTGCCCCATAGCGTGCCCCATAGCACGCCCCATACCGTCCCCCATAGCGTGCCCCATAGTGTGCCCCATTGCGTGCCCCGTAGCGCACCCGACAGCGTGCTCCATAACACCCTCTCCCATTGACCCCACGCTGTGGGGCACTGACCCGTGTGGGGCCGGGTTAATGTGTATCTATGGGGCGGGAGCTCCCATTTAAAGCCCAGCCGCAGAGTGGGCCCCGACCTTTGCACAGGCGCTATGGGGCAGGAGCGGCTCGGGGGCTCTGGGGGGCAGAAACTGGGGGGGGGATCTGTGGGGCAGGGATCTATAGGGCAAGGATCTATGGGGCAGGGCTCTATGGCGCACGGATCTATGGGGCAGGGATCTATGGGGCAGGGATCAGGCTCCATGGGGCAGGGATCAGGATCTATGGGGCACGGATCTATGGGTCAGGGATCAGGATCTATGGGGCAGGGCTCCATGGGTCAGGTCTCTATGGGTCAGAGCTCTATGGGTCAGGGCTCAGGATCTATGGGTCAGGGCTCAGGATCTATGGGGCAGGGCTCAGGATCTATGGGGCAGGGCTCAGGCTCTATGGGTCCGCTCTCTATGGGTCCGGTTTCTATGGGTCCGCTCTCTATGGGTCAGGGCTCTATGGGTCCGGTCTGTATGGGGCAGGGATCTATAGGGCAGGGCTCTATGGGTCCGGTCTCTATGGGTCCGGTCTCTATGGGTCAGGGCTCCGTGGGTCCGGGCTCTATGGGGCAGGGATCTATAGGGCAGGGATCTATAGGGCAGGGCTCAGGCTCTATGGGTCCGGTCTCTATGGGTCCGGTCTCTATGGGTCCGGTCTCTATGGGTCAGGGCTCCGTGGGTCCGGGCTCTATGGGGCAGGGATCTATAGGGCAGGGATCTATAGGGCAGGGCTCAGGCTCTATGGGTCCGGTCTCTATGGGTCCGGTCTCTATGGGTCCGGTCTCTATGGGTCAGGGCTCAGGCTCTATGGGTCCGGTCTCTATGGGTCCGCTCTCTATGGGTCCGGTCTCTATGGGGCAGGGCTCAGGCTCTATGGGTCCGGTTTCTATGGGTCAGGTTTCTATGGGTCCGGGCTCTATGGGTCCGGTCTCTATGGGGCAGGGCTCAGGATCTATGGGTCCGGTCTCTATGGGGCAGGGATCTATAGGGCAGGGATCTATAGGTCAGGTCTCTATGGGTCCGGGCTCTATGGGTCCGGGCTCTATGGGGCAGGGATCTATAGGGCAGGGATCTATGGGGCAGGGATCTATAGGGCAGGGATCTATGGGTCCGGTCTCTATAGGGCAGGGCTCTATGGGTCAGGGCTCCGTGGGTCCGGGTCCCTTCCCCCCTGCCCCTCCCCCCGGCCTGGACCTCTCGGGGGGGGCGGGGCTGCGGCTCCGGAGCGCGCGGGAGCTGCTGCGGGCCCTGCTCGTGCTGGGGATTTGCGCGCGGCCCCGCCTCGTGCGGAGCGCGGGAACGGTGAGGGGGGGGAGGGGCTCCATGGGGGGGGGGGGTGGGGCTATGGGGCGGGGCTATGGGGGTCTATGGGAGTCTATGGGGGTCTATGGGGGTCTATGGGGGTCTATGGGGTTCTATGGGGCTCTATGGGGTGGGGTGTATGGGGGTGTATGGGGGTCTATGGGGTGTCTATGGGGGTCTATGGGGCTCTATGGGGTGGGGTGTATGGGGGTCTATGGGGCTCTATGGGGGTCTATGGGGTTCTATGGGGTGGGGTCTATGGGGTTCTATGGGCTCTATGGGGTTCTATGGGGTGGGGTCTATGGGGTTCTATGGGGTTCTATGGGGTGGTGTCTATGGGGTTCTATGGGGCTCTATGGGGTGGGGTGTATGGGGGTCTATGGGGCTCTATGGGGGTCTATGGGGTTCTATGGGGGTCTATGGGGTTCTATGGGGTGGGGTCTATGGGGGTCTATGGGGTTCTATGGGGCTCTATGGGGTGGGGTCTATGGGGGTCTATGGGGCTCTATGGGGCTCTATGGGGTGGGGTCTATGGGGGTCTATGGGGCTCTATGGGGTTCTATGGGGCTCTATGGGGTTCTATGGGGGTCTATGGGGCTCTATGGGGCTCTATGGGGCTCTATGGGGTGGGGTCTATGGGGCTCTATGGGGTTCTATGGGGCTCTATGTAGTGAGGTCTATGGGGTTCTATGGGGCTCTATGGGGTTCTATGGGGCTCTATGGGGTTCTATGGGGTTCTATGGGGCTCTATGGGGTGGGGTCTATGGGGGTCTATGGGGCTTGATGGGGTGGGGTCTATGGGGTTCTATGGGGCTCTATAGGGCTCTATGGGGTGGGCTCTATGGGGTTCTATGGGGCTCTATGGGGCTCTATGGGGTGGGGTCTATGGGGCTCTATGGGGTGGGGTCTATGGGGCGGGGGGTGCTATGGGGTTCTATGGGACTCTATGGGGCTCTATGGGGTGGGGTCTATGGGGCTCTATGGGGTTCTATGGGGCTCTATGGGGCTCTATGGGGTGAGGTCTATGGGGCTCTATGGGGCTCTATGGGGTGGGGTCTATGGGGCGGGGGGGGTCTATGGGGCTCTATGGGGCACGCGCTATGGGGCTCTATGGGGTTCTATGGGGATCTATGGAGCTCTATGGAGCTCTATGGGGATCTATGGGGAGGGGTCTAGGGGGTTCTATGGGGCTCTATGGGGTGGGGTCTATGGGGCGGGGGGGAGTCTATGGGAGTCTATGGGGTGGGATCTAGGGGTTTCTATGGGGTTCTATGGGGTTCTATGGGGCTCCATGGGGGGTGGGTTCTATGGGGCCGGGGGGGGGGGCTATGGGTCTCTATGGGTCTCTATGGGTCTCTATGTGTCTCTATGTGTCCCTATGTGTCTCTATGTGTCTCTATGGGTCCCTATGGGTCTCTATGTCTCTCTATGGGTCCCTATGGGTCTCTATGTATCTCTAGGGGTCTCTATGGGTCTCTATGTGTCTCTATGGGTCTCTATGTATCTCTATGGGTCCCTATGTATCTCTATGGGTCTCTATGTGTCTCTATGTGTCTCTATGTGTCCCTATGTGTCTCTATGGGTCTCTATGTATCTCTATGTGTCTCTATGTGTCTCTATGGGTCTCTATGGGTCTCTATGGGTCCCTATGTATCTCTATGTATCTCTATGGGTCCCTATGGGTCTCTATGGGTCCCTATGGGTCCCAATGTGTCTCTGTATCTCCCCTCCCCCCCAGCTCCTCCCCGCCGCCCCTCCCCCCCTCCGCTCCCTCCTTTACTCCCAGTTCGTTGCCGGCCCCTCCCCCTCCCGGTTCCTGGCGGCGGCCGCGAGGCTGCGGGGGGAGGGGCTCGGCCCCGCCCTCGCCCTCCCCTGCGAGAGCCCCGGGGGGAGGGGCGGCGGAGGGTGAGCGCCGCCAGGGGGCGACGAGGGGGGGGGGAGGGGGTGGGGTTATGGGGGGCGGGGTTATGGGGGGTGGGGTTATGGGGTGCTATGGGGTGGGTTATGGGGGGGTTATGGGGTGCTATGGAGGGGTTATGGGGTGGGTTATGGGGTGGGTTATGGGGGGGTTATGGGGGGGTTATGGGGGGGGTTATGGGGTGCTATGGGGGGGTTATGGGGTGCTATGGGGTTGGTTATGGGGGGGTTATGGGGTGCTATGGGGTGGGTTATGGGGGGGGTTATGGGGTGGGTTATGGGGGGGGTTATGGGGTGCTATGGGGGGGTTATGGGGTGCTATGGGGTGGGTTATGGGGGGGTTATGGGGTGGGTTATGGGGGGGGTTATGGGGTGCTATGGGGGGGTTATGGGGTGCTATGGGGTGGGGTTATGGGGGAGGTTATGGGGTGCTATAGGGTGGGTTATGGGGCGTTATGGGGTGCTATGGGGGGGTTATGGGGTGCTATGGGGTGGGTTATGGGGGGGTTATGGGGTGCTATGGGGGGGTTATGGGGTGCTATGGGGTGGGTTATGGGGGGGTTATGGGGTGCTATGGGGCAGGGTTATGGGGGGGGTTATGGGGTGGGGTTATGGGGGGGTTATGGGGTGCTATGTGGTGGGTTATGGGGGGGTTATGGGGTGCTATGGGGCAGGGTTATGGGGGGGGTTATGGGGTGCTATGGGGGGGTTATGGGGGGGGTTATGGGGTGCTATGGGGTGGGTTATGGGGTGGGTTATGGGGGGGGTTATGGGGTGCTATGGGGTGGGTTATGGGGGGGTTATGGGGTGCTATGGGGGGGTTATAGGGTGCTATGGGGTGGGTTATGGGGGGGTTATGGGGTGCTATGGGGCAGGGTTATGGGGGGGGTTATGGGGTGGGGTTATGGGGGGGTTATGGGGTGCTATGGGGTGGGTTATGCGGGGGTTATGGGGTGCTATGGGGCAGGGTTATGGGGGGGGTTATGGGGTGCTATGGGGGGGTTATGGGGGGGTTATGGGGTGCTATGGGGTGGGTTATGGGGTGGGTTATGGGGGGGGTTATGGGGTGCTATGGGGTGGGTTATGGGGGGGTTATGGGGTGCTATGGGGGGGTTATAGGGTGCTATGGGGTGGGTTATGGGGGGGTTATGGGGTGCTATGGGGGGGTTATGGGGGGGGTTATGGGGTGGGTTATGGGGGGGTTATGGGGTGCTATGGGGGGGTTATGGGGTGCTATGGGGTGGGTTATGGGGTGCTATGGGGTGGGTTATGGGGTGCTATGGGGGGGTTATGGGGTGCTATGGGGTGGGTTATGGGGGGGAGTTATGGGGTGCTATGGGGCAGGGTTATGGGGTGCTGTGGAGTGGGTTATGGGGGGGGTTATGGGGCGCTATGGGGTGTGTGGGGCAGGGTTATGGGGTGCTATGGGGTGGGTTATGGGGCGCATTGGGGTCTATGGGGCAGGGCTATGGGGTGGCAGTGGGGTGGGCTATGGGTGCTATGGGGTGGCGTATGGGTGCCATTGGGGTCTATGGGGCGGGTTCTGGGCCCTGCCCCACATCTCCACCCATGTGTGGGGCAGCGAGGCCTGGTTCGAGGCCAACCATGGGGCTGCCCTGGAATGTGTGGGGCTGGCGGCGGCCACGGGCCCCGGGGCCATGATGCAGCTGAAGGTGACGGCCATGATGGACGCCGATCTCTGCGTGAGTTATGGGGCTGCCCCATAGAATCTATGGGGCAGGGGCCACACCCCCCCCCCCCAGCCCCATAAGTGAGCCCCACATCTCCCCATAGGCCATCATCCAGCAGCGGATGCAGGAGCCGGGTACCAAAGTGACGCCGGAGTTCATCATTGCGGCCATGGGGGGCAAGGTGGGGCCTGACCCACACGTGTGGGGCTGAGCCCCATAGCTTGCCCCATAGAACCCCATAAGCTGCCCCATGGAGCCCGATGAGCCCCATAACCTGCCCCATAGAACTCAATGTGCCTCACAGCCTGCCCCATAGAGCCCAGTGAGCCCCATAAGCTGCCCCATAGAGCCCCATAAGCTGCCCCATAGAGCCCGATGAGCCCCATAAGCTGCCCCATAGAGCCCGATGAGCCCCCTAACCTGCCCCATAGCGCCCAATGTGCCCATAAGCTGCCCCATAGAACCCAGTGAGCCCCATAACCTCCCCCATAGAACACAGTGAGCCCCATATCCTGCCCCATAGACCCCAGCGTGCCCCATACCATGCCCTATAGATCCCGATGAGGCCCATATCCTGCCCCATAGGCCCCAATGTGCCCCATAAAATGCCCCGTAGATCCCAATGTGACCCATATCCTGCCCCATAGACCCCAGTGAGCCCCCTAACTTGTGGGTCTGCCCCATAGATTGCTCCCTCCCTGCCATTCCTGACCCCGCAGCAGAACCAACACTTTGGGGTCTCCCTGCGGCGCTTGGACAGCGTGGCCCAGGTGAGATGTGGGGCAGCCCCATAGAATCAATGGGTCCCGATGTGGGTCCAGCCCCATAGAATCAATGGGTCTCGATGTGGGCCCAGCCCCATAGAATCAATGGGTCTTGATGTCGGTCCAGCCCCATAGAATCAATGGGTCAGCCCCATAGAATCAATGGGTCCCGATGTGGGTCCAGCCCCATAGAATCAATGGGTCAGCCCCATCGAATCAATGGGTCAACCCCATAGAATCGATGGGTCGGGATGTGTGTCCAGCCCCATAGAATCAATGGGTCAGCCCCATAGAATCAATGGGTCCGGATGTGGTTCCAGCCCCATAGAATCAATGGGTCAGCCCCATAGAATCAATGTTTCAGCCCCATAGAATCAAAGGGTCTCGATGTGTGTCCAGCCCCATAGAATCAATGGGTCAGCCCCATAGAATCAGTGGGTCCCGATGTGGGTCCAGCCCCATAGAATCTATGGGTCAGCCCCATCGAATCAATGGGTCAACCCCATAGAATCGATGGGTCCCGATGTGGGTCCAGACCCATAGAATCAATGGGTCAGACCCATAGAATCAATGGGTCCCGATGTGGGTCCAGCCCTGTAGAATCAATGGGTCAGCCCCATCGAATCAGTGGGTCAACCCCATAGAATCAATGGGTCGGGATGTGGTTCCAGCCCCATAGAATCAATGGGTCAGCCCCATAGAATCAAAGGGTCTCGATGTGGGTCCAGCCCCATAGAATCAATGGGTCGGGATGTGGGTCCAGCCCCATAGAATGAATGGGTCAACCCCATAGAATCAATGGGTCCCGATGTGGGTCCAGCCCTATAGAATCAGTGAGTCAGCCCCATAGAATCAATGGGTCGGGATGTGGTTCCAGCCCTATAGAATCAATGGGTCAGCCCCATAGAATCAATGGGTCCGGATGTGGTTCCAGCCCCATAGAATCAATGGGTCAGCCCCATCGAATCAATGGGTCAACCCCATAGAATCAATGGGTCCGGATGTGGGTCCAGCCCTATAGAATCAATGGGTCAGCCCCATAGAATCAATGGGTCCGGATGTGGGTCCAGCCCCATAGAATCAATGAGGCAGCCCCATAGAATCAATGGGTCCGGATTTGGGTCCAGCCCCATAGAATCAGTGGGTCAGCCCCATAGAATCAATGGGTCCGGATGTGGTTCCAGCCCCATAGAATCAATGGGTCAGCCCCATAGAATCAATGGGTCCGGATGTGGGTCCAGCCCCATAGAATCAATGGGTCAGCCCCATAGAATCAATGGGTCCGGATGTGGGTCCAGCCCCATAGAATCAATGCGTCTCGATGTGGTTCCAGCCCCATAGAATCAATGGGTCAGCCCCATAGAATCAATGGGTCAACCCCATAGAATCAATGGGTCCGGATGTGGTTCCAGCCCCATAGAATCAATGGGTCAGCCCCATAGAATCAATGGGTCCGGATGTGGGTCCAGCCCCATAGAATCAATGGGTCAGCCCCATAGAATCAATGGGTCCGGATGTGGGTCCAGCCCTATAGAATCAGTGAGTCAGCCCCATAGAATCAATGGGTCGGGATGTGGTTCCAGCCCCATAGAATCAATGGGTCAGCCCCATAGAATCAATGGGTCCGGATGTGGTTCCAGCCCCATAGAATCAATGGGTCAGCCCCATCGAATCAATGGGTCAACCCCATAGAATCAATGGGTCCGGATGTGGGTCCAGCCCTATAGAATCAATGGGTCAGCCCCATAGAATCAATGGGTCCGGATGTGGGTCCAGCCCCATAGAATCAATGAGGCAGCCCCATAGAATCAATGGGTCCGGATTTGGGTCCAGCCCCATAGAATCAGTGGGTCAGCCCCATAGAATCAATGCGTCTCAATGTGGGGCAGCCCCATAGAATCAATGGGTCAGGCCCATAGAATCAATGGGTCCGGATGTGGGTCCAGCCCCATAGAATCAATGCGTCTCGATGTGGTTCCAGCCCCATAGAATCAATGGGTCAGCCCTATAGAATCAGTGGGTCAGCCCCATATAATCAATGGGTCGGGATGTGTGTCCAGCCCCATAGAATCAATGGGTCAGCCCCATAGAATCAATGGGTCCGGATGTGGGTCCAGCCCCATAGAATCAATGGGTCAGCCCCATAGAATCAATGGGTCCGGATGTGGGTCCAGCCCCATAGAATCAATGGGTCAGCCCCATAGAATCAATGGGTCCGGATGTGGGTCCAGCCCCATAGAATCAATGCGTCTCGATGTGGTTCCAGCCCCATAGAATCAATGGGTCAGCCCCATAGAATCAATGGGTCAACCCCATAGAATCAATGGGTCCGGATGTGGGTCCAGCCCTATAGAATCAATGGGTCAGCCCCATAGAATCAATGGGTCCGGATGTGGGTCCAGCCCCATAGAATCAATGAGGCAGCCCCATAGAATCAATGGGTCCTGATGTGGGTCCAGCCCCATAGAATCAGTGGGTCAGCCCCATAGAATCAATGGGTCCGGATGTGGGTCCAGCCCCATAGAATCAATGGGTCAGCCCCATAGAATCAATGGGTCCGAATTTGGTTCCAGCCCCATAGAATCAATGGGTCAGCCCCATAGAATCAATGGGTCGGGATGTGGGTCCAGCCCCATAGAATCAATGAGGCAGCCCCATAGAATCAATGGGTCAGCCCCATAGAATCAATGGGTCGGGATGTGGGTCCAGCCCCATAGAATCAATGGGGCTCCCGCAGGCCGCCGTGGGGCAGGGGGTGACGCTCATGGTGGACGCGGAGCAGAGCCACCTGCAGGGGGCGTTGCGGCTCCTCACCCTCGCTCTGATTGGCCGACACAACCGGGGGGCGGAGCCTCGCGTCTGGAGCACGGTGCAGGCCTACGTGCGCGTGCGTGAGGGGGCGCTATGGGGCAGCCCCATTGATGTGGGGCGAAGTGTGTGGGGGGGTGCTCTATGGGTCCCTGGGGAGCTCTATGGGGCTCTATGGGGCTTTATGGGTGTCTATGGAGCCCTATGGGGTCTCTATGGGGTCTCTATGGAGTGTCTATGGGTCTCTATGGGGGGTCTATGGGGTCTCTATGGGATCTCTATGGGTCTCTATGGGTCTCTATGGGGTCTCTATGGGTCTCTATGGGTCTCTATGGGTCTCTATGGGTCTCTATGGGTCTTTATGGGGTCTCTATGGGTCTCTATGGGTCTCTATGGGTCTTTATGGGGTCTCTATGGGATCTCTATGGGTCTCTATGGGTCTCTATGGGGTCTCTATGGGTCTCTATGGGTCTCTATGTGTCTCTATGGGTCTCTATGTGTCTCTATGGGTCCCTATGGGTCTCTATGGGATCTCTATGGGGTCTCTATGGGATCTCTATGGAGTCTCTATGGGTCTTTATGGGGGCTCTCTGGGGTGTCCATGGGTCTCTATGGGTCTCTATGGGGTCTCCATGGGTCTCTATGGGGTCTCTATGGGGTCTCTATGGGGTCTCTATGGGTCCCTGTGGGGTCTCTATGGGGCAGCCCCACACCTGGGTCTCTATGGGTCCCTATGGGGCAGCCCCACACCTGGGTCTCTATGGGGCAGGGCGCTGAGCAGGTGCTGACCATGGAGGCCTTGTGGGCCCGGCGCTATGGGGTGCGCTATGGGGTGAAGCTGGTCCGAGGGGCGTACCTGGAGGAGGAGCGGCTCCGGGCCCGCAAGTTGGGGGTCCCGGACCCCTTGCACCCCACATTGGAGGCCACGCACATCAGGTGGGGCTATGGGGTCTCTATGGGTCTCTATGGGTCTCTATGGGGTCTCTATGGGTTTCTATGGGGTCTCTATGGGTCGCTATGGGTCTCTATGGGGCTCTATGGGTCTCTATGGGTCCCTATGGGTCCCTATGGGTCCCTATGGGTCTCTATGGGTCTCTATGGGTCCCTATGGGTCTCTATGGGTCCCTATGGGTCCGTATGAGGCTCTACAGGTCTCTATGGGGTCTCTATGGGTCCCAATGGGTCTTTATGGTCCCTATGGGGTCTCTATGGGTCCCCATGGGGTCTCTATGGGTCTCTATGGGTCCCTATGAGGCTCTACGGGTCCCTGTGGGGTCTCTATGGGTCCCCATGGGGTCTCTATGGGTCTCTATGGGTCCCTATGAGGCTCTACGGGTCCCTGTGGGGTCTCTATGGGTCCCCATGGGGTCTCTATGGGTCTCTATGGGTCTCTATGGGTCCCTATGAGGCTCTACGGGTCTCTATGGGGTCTCTATGGGTCCCTATGGGGTCTCTATGGGTCTCTATGGGTCTCTATGGGTCTCTATGTGTCTCTATGGGTCTCTATGGGTCTCTATGGGTCTTTATGGGGTCTCTATGGGTCTCTATGGGTCTCTATGGGGTCTCTATGGGTTTCTATGGGTCTCTATGGGGTCTCTATGGGTCTCTATGGGTCTCTATGGGTCTCTATGGGGTCTCTATGGGTTTCTATGGGGTCTCTATGGGTCTCTATGGGTCTCTATGGGTCCCAATGTGTCTCTATGGGTCCCAATGGGTCTCTATGGGTCCCAATGTGTCTCTATGGGTCCCAATGGGTCTCTATGGGTCTCACCCCATAGCTATGGGGCCTGCCTGGAGCTGGCGCTGGCGCTGGTGGTTCAGGATCAGGCCCGGCTCATGGTGGCCACTCACAACGAGGCCTCGGTGATGCAGGCGGTGCAGCGGTGGGTCTGCCCCACATGTGGGGCGCTATGGGGTGTCTATGGGGTGCTATGGGGTGTCTATGGGGTGCTATGGGGTGTCTGTGGGGTGCTGTGGGGTGTCTATAGGGCTCTATGGGGTGTCTATGCGGTGTCTATGGGGCGCTATGGGGTGTCTATGGGGCGCTATGGGGTGTCTATGGGGTGCTATGGGGTGTCTATGGGGCGCTATGGGGTGTCTGTGGGGACCTATGGGGTGTCTATGGGGCGCTATGGGGTGTCTATGGGGTGCTATGGGGTGTCTATGGGGTGCTATGGGGTGTCTATGGGGCACTATGGGGTGTCTATGGGGCGCTATGGGGTGTCTATGGGGTGCTATGGGGTGTCTATGGGGTGCTATGGGGTGTCTATGGGGTGTCTATGGGGCGCTATGGGGTGTCTATGGGGTGCTATGGGGTGTCTATGGGGTGTCTATGGGGCGCTATGGGGTGTCTATGGGGTGCTATGGGGTGTCTATGGGGTGCTATGTGGTGTCTATGGGGTGCTATGGGGTTTCTATGGGGCGCTATGGGGTGTCTATGGGGTGCTATGGGGTTTCTATGGGATGCTATGGGGTTTCTATGGGGCGGTATGGGGTGCCTATGGGGCGCTATGGGGTGTCTATGGGGCGCTATGGGGTGTCTATGGGGTGCTATGGGGTGTCTATGGGGTGCTATTGGAGTCTAGGGGGGGCTATAGGGTGTCTATGGGGCACCATGGGGTGTCTATGGGGAGCTATGGGGTGTCTATGGGGCGCTATGGGGTGTCTATGGGGTGCTATGGGGTGTCTATGGGGCGCTATGGGGTGTCTATGGGGCGCTATGGGGCGCTATGGGGTGCTATTGGAATCTAGGGGGGGCTATAGGGTGTCTATGGGGCACCATGGGGTGTCTATGGGGCGCTATGGGGTCATTATGGGATGTTACGGTTACTATGGGGTTACCATGGGGTCATTATGGGATGTTACGGTTGCTATGGGGTTACCATGGGGTCATTATGGGATGTTACGGTTACTATGGGGTTACCATGGGGTCATTATGGGATGTTACGGTTACCATGGGGTTACCATGGGGTCATTATGGGATGTTACGGTTACCATGGGGTTACCATGGGGTCATTATGGGATGTTACGGTTACCATGGGGTTACCATGGGCTCATTATGGGATGTTACGGTTACCATGGGGTTACCATGGGGTCATTATGGGATGTTACGGTTGCTATGGGGTTACCATGGGGTCATTATGGGATGTTACGGTTACCATGGGGTTACCATGGGGTCATTATGGGATGTTACGGGTACCATGGGGTTACCATGGGGTCATTATGGGATGTTATGGTTACTATGGGGTTACCATGGGCTCATTATGGGATGTTACGGTTACCATGGGGTTACCATGGGGTCATTATGGGATGTTACGGTTGCTATGGGGTTACCATGGGGTCATTATGGGATGTTACGGTTACTATGGGGTTACCATGGGCTCATTATGGGATGTTACGGTTACTATGGGGTTACCATGGGCTCATTATGGGATGTTACGGTTACTATGGGGTTACCATGGGGTCATTATGGGATGTTACGGTTACTATGGGGTTACCATGGGCTCATTATGGGATGTTACGGGTACCATGGGGTTACCATGGGGTCATTATGGGATGTTACGGGTACCATGGGGTTACCATGGGCTCATTATGGGATGTGGCCGTTGCCATGGCAGCATGGAGGCCTTGGGCATCCCACGCCGGGCCGGCGGGGTCTGCTTCGGGCAGCTCTATGGGATGTGCGATCACGTGAGCCTGGAGCTGGGTGAGCTGTGGGGTGCCTCTGGGGTTATTATGGGGTGTTAGGGTTACTATGGGGTCTCTATGGGGCCCTATGGGGTCCCTATGGGGTTATTATAGGATGTTATGGTTACTATGGGGTCTCTATGGGGCCCTATGGGGTCCCTATGGGGTTATTATGGGATGTTACGGTTACTATGGGGTCACTATGGGTCTCTATGGGTCCCTATGGGTTCCCTATGGGGTTATTATAGGATGTTATGGTTACTATGGGGTCTCTATGGGGCCCTATGGGGTCCCTATGGGGCTGTTATGGGATGTTATGGTCCTATTGGGTCCCTATGGGGTTATTATGGGATGTTAGGGTTACTATGGGGTCTCTATGGGTCCCTATGGGTTCCCTATGGGGTTATTATGGGATGTTAGGGTTGCTATGGGGTCTCTGTGGGTCCCTATGGGGTTATTATGGGATGTTATGGTTACTATGGGGTCCCTATGGGGTTATTATGGGATGTTAGGGTTACTATGCGGTCCCTATGGGTTCCCTATGGGGTTATTATGGGATGTTAGGGTTGCTATGGGGTCTCTGTGGGTCCCTATGGGGTTATTATGGGATGTTATGGTTACTATGGGGTCCCTATGGGGTTATTATGGGATGTTAGGGTTACTATGCGGTCCCTATGGGTTCCCTATGGGGTTATTATGGGATGTTAGGGTTGCTATGGGGTCTCTGTGGGTCCCTATGGGGTTATTATGGGATGTTATGGTTACTATGGGGTCCCTATGGGGTTATTATGGGATGTTAGGGTTACTATGGGGTCCCTATGTGTTCCCTATGGGGTTATTATGGGATGTTAGGGTTGCTATGGGGTCTCTGTGGGTCCCTATGGGGTTATTATGGGATGTTATGGTTACTATGGGGTCCCTATGGGGTTATTATGGGATGTTATGGTTACTATGGGGTCTCTATGGGTCCCTATGGGTTCCCTATGGGGTTATTATGGGATGTTATGGTTACTATGGGGTCTCTATGGGGCCCTATGGGTTCCCTATGGGGTTATTATGGGATGTTATGGTTACTATGGGGTCTCTATGGGGCCCTATGGGTTCCCTATGGGGTTATTATGGGATGTTATGGTTACTATGGGGTCACTATGGGGTTATTATGGGATGTTATGGTTACTATGGGGTCTCTATGGGTCCCTATGGGTTCTCTATGGGGTTATTATGGGATGTTAGGGTTACTATGGGGTCACTATGGGGTTATTATGGGATGTTATGGTTACTATGGGGTCTCTGTGGGTCCCTATGGGGTTATTATGGGATGTTATGGTTACTATGGGGTCCCTATGGGGTTATTATGGGATGTTAGGGTTACTATGGGGTCCCTATGTGTTCCCTATGGGGTTATTATGGGATGTTAGGGTTGCTATGGGGTCTCTGTGGGTCCCTATGGGGTTATTATGGGATGTTATGGTTACTATGGGGTCCCTATGGGGTTATTATGGGATGTTATGGTTACTATGGGGTCTCTATGGGTCCCTATGGGTTCCCTATGGGGTTATTATGGGATGTTATGGTTACTATGGGGTCTCTATGGGGCCCTATGGGTTCCCTATGGGGTTATTATGGGATGTTAGGATTGCTATGGGGTCTCTGTGGGTCCCTCTGGGGTTATTATGGGATGTTATGGTTACTATGGGGTCTCTGTGGGTCCCTATGGGTTCCCTATGTGGTTATTATGGGATGTTATGGTTACTATGGGGTCTCTGTGGGTCCCTATGGGGTTATTATGGGATGTTATGGTTACTATAGGGTCTCTATGGGGCCCTATGGGGTCCCTATGGGGTTATTATGGGATGTTACGATTACTATGGGGTCACTATGGGTCTCTATGGGTCCCCTATGGGGTTATTATGGGATGTTATGGTTACTATGGGGTCTCTATGGGTCCCTATGGATTCCCTCTGTGGTTATTATGGGATGTTAGGGTCCCTATGGGGTCCCTATGGGGTTACTATGGGATGCTATGGTTCCTATGGGGTCTCTATGGGTCCCTATGGGTTCCCTATGGGGTTGTTATGGGATGTTATGGTCCCTATGGGGTCACTGTGGGGTTATTATGGGATGTTACGGTTACTATGGGGTCACTGTGGGGTTATTATGGGATGTTATGGTTACTATGGGGTCTCTATGGGTCCCTGTGGGTTCCCTATGGGGTTATTATGGGATGTTATGGTTACTATGGGGTCTCTATGGGGTCTCTATGGGGTCTCTATGGGGTCTCTCTGTGGCTATTATGGGATGTCACGGTCTCTATGGGTCTCTATGGGGTCTCTATGGGTCTCTATGGGGTCTCTATGTGTCTGTATGGGGGTCTCTATGGGTCCCTCTGTGTTCCCTGTGCTGTGACTATTATGGGATGTCACGGTCTCTATGTGTCCCTATGTGTCCCTATGGGTCCCTCTGTGTTCCCTGTGCTGTGACTATTATGGGATGTCACGGTCTCTATGTGTCCCTATGGGTCCCTCTGTGTTCCCTGTGCTGTGACTATTATGGGATGTCACGGTCTCTATGTGTCTCTATGGGGTCTCTATGTGTCTCTATGGGTCTCTATGGGGTCTCTCTGTGACTATTATGGGATGTCACGGTCTCTATGTGTCTCTATGGGGTCTCTATGTGTCTCTATGTGTCTCTATGGGGTCTCTCTGTGGCTATTATGGGATGTCACGGTCTCTATGTGTCTCTATGGGGTCTCTATGTGTCTCTATGGGTCTCTATGGGGTCTCTCTGTGGCTATTATGGGATGTCATGTTCTCTATGTGTCTCTATGTGTTCCCTGTGCTGTGACTATTATGGGCTGTCCCCTCCAGGCCGTGCCGGTTACTCCGCCTTCAAGTCGATGCCCGTGGGTCCGGAGGCGACGGCGCTGCCGTACCTGGTGCGCCGTGCCCAGGAGCACCGGCAGGGGGCGCTACAACGCACGGCGCTAGAGCGCCACCTGCTGGCCACGGAGCTGCGGCGCCGCCTCCTGCGCTGGGCGCTTTTTGGGGGGGGATTTGGGGGGGGGGAGGTGAAAAATGGGAAAATTGGAGAAAAGTTGGAGAAAATCGGGACAAAGGAGACCAAAAGGGGCACAAATTAGAGAGGAATTGGGCAAAATTGGAGAAAAGTTGGAGAAAATCGGCAGAAATTAGAGCGGAATTGGGCAAAATTGGAGAAAAATTGGACAAAATCGGCACAAAAGAGACCAAAAGGGGCACAAATTAGAGAGGAATTGGGCAAAATTGGAGAAAAGTTGGACAAAATCGGCACAAATTAGAGCGGAATTGGGCAAAATTGGAGAAAAGTTGGAGAAAATCGGCAGAAATTAGAGCGGAATTGGGCAAAATTGGAGAAAAGTTGGACAAAATCGGGACAAAGGAGACCAAAAGGGGCACAAATTAGAGAGGAATTGGGCAAAATTGGAGAAAAGTTGGAGAAAATCGGCAGAAATTAGAGCGGAATTGGGCAAAATTAGAGAAAAGTTGGACAAAATCGGCACAAATTAGAGCAGAATTGGGCAAAATTAGAGAAAAATTGGCCAAAATCGGCACAAATTAGACCAAAATCGGAACAAAAGAGACCAAAATTGGCAGAAATTAGACCAAAACCGTTCAAAATTAAACCAAAATTGGCCAAAATCGGCACAAATTAGACCAAAATCAGCACAAATTAGACCAAAATTGGCCAAAATCGGCACAAATTAGACCAAAATCGGCACAAATTAGACCAAAATTGGCCAAAATCGGCAAAAATTAGAGCAGAATTGGGCAAATTTGGAGAAAAGTTGGAGAAAATCGGCAGAAATTAGAGCAGAATTGGGCAAAATTAGAGAAAAGTTGGACAAAATCGGCAGAAATTAGAGCAGAATTGGGCAAAATTAGAGAAAAGTTGGACAAAATCGGGACAAAAGAGACCAAAAGTGGCACAAATTAGAGAGGAATTGGGCAAAATTGGAGAAAAGTTGGAGAAAATCAGCACAAATTAGATCAGAATTGGGCAAAATTGGAGAAAAATTGGACAAAATCGGGACAAAAGAGACCAAAAGGGGCACAAATTAGAGAGGAATTGGGCAAAATTGGAGAAAAGTTGGACAAAATCGGGACAAAGGAGACCAAAAGTGGGACAAATTAGAGAGGAATTGGGCAAAATTGGAGAAAAGTTGGAGAAAATCGGGACAAAGGAGACCAAAAGGGGCACAAATTAGAGAGGAATTGGGCAAAATTGGAGAAAAGTTGGAGAAAATCGGCAGAAATTAGAGCGGAATTGGGCAAAATTTGAGAAAAGTTGGAGAAAATCGGCAGAAATTAGAGCAGAATTGGGCAAAATTGGAGAAAAGTTGGAGAAAATCGGCAGAAATTAGAGCGGAATTGGGCAAAATTGGAGAAAAGTTGGAGAAAATCGGCAGAAATTAGAGCAGAATTGGGCAAAATTGGAGAAAAGTTGGAGAAAATCGGGACAAAGGAGACCAAAAGGGGCACAAATTAGAGAGGAATTGGGCAAAATTGGAGAAAAGTTGGAGAAAATCGGCAGAAATTAGAGCGGAATTGGGCAAAATTAGAGAAAAGTTGGAGAAAATCGGCAGAAATTAGAGCGGAATTGGGCAAAATTGGAGAAAAATTGGACGAAATCGGCAGAAATTAGAGCGGAATTGGGCAAAATTGGAGAAAAGTTGGAGAAAATCGGCACAAATTAGAGCGGAATTGGGCAAAATTGGAGAAAAGTTGGAGAAAATCGGCAGAAATTAGAGCGGAATTGGGCAAAATTGGAGAAAAGTTGGACAAAATCGGGACAAAGGAGACCAAAAGGGGCACAAATTAGAGAGGAATTGGGCAAAATTGGAGAAAAGTTGGAGAAAATCGGCAGAAATTAGAGCGGAATTGGGCAAAATTGGAGAAAAGTTGGAGAAAATCGGCAGAAATTAGAGCGGAATTGGGCAAAATTGGAGAAAAGTTGGAGAAAATCGGCACAAATTAGAGCGGAATTGGGCAAAATTAGAGAAAAGTTGGACAAAATCGGGACAAAAGAGACCAAAAGTGGCACAAATTAGAGAGGAATTGGGCAAAATTGGAGAAAAGTTGGAGAAAATCGGCAGAAATTAGAGCGGAATTGGGCAAAATTGGAGAAAAGTTGGACAAAATCGGGACAAAAGAGACCAAAAGTGGCACAAATTAGAGAGGAATTGGGCAAAATTGGAGAAAAGTTGGAGAAAATCGGCAGAAATTAGAGAGGAATTGGGCAAAATTGGAGAAAAGTTGGAGAAAATCGGCAGAAATTAGAGCGGAATTGGGCAAAATTGGAGAAAAGTTGGAGAAAATCGGCACAAATTAGAGCAGAATTGGGCAAAATTGGAGAAAAGTTGGAGAAAATCGGGACAAAAGAGACCAAAAGTGGCACAAATTAGAGAGGAATTGGGCAAAATTGGAGAAAAGTTGGAGAAAATCGGCAGAAATTAGAGCGGAATTGGGCAAAATTGGAGAAAAGTTGGACGAAATCGGCAGAAATTAGAGCGGAATTGGGCAAAATTGGAGAAAAGTTGGAGAAAATCGGCAGAAATTAGAGCAGAATTGGGCAAAATTGGAGAAAAGTTGGACAAAATCGGGACAAAGGAGACCAAAAGGGGCACAAATTAGAGCGGAATTGGGCAAAATTGGAGAACAGTTGGAGAAAATCGGCACAAAAGAGACCAAAAGTGGCACAAATTAGAGCGGAATTGGGCAAAATTGGAGAAAAGTTGGAGAAAATCGGCAGAAATTAGAGCGGAATTGGGCAAAATTGGAGAAAAGTTGGAGAAAATCGGCACAAATTAGAGCGGAATTGGGCAAAATTGGAGAAAAGTTGGAGAAAATCGGCACAAATTAGAGCGGAATTGGGCAAAATTGGAGAAAAGTTGGAGAAAATCGACAGAAAATAGAGCGGAATTGGGCAAAATTGGAGAAAAGTTGGAGAAAATCGGCACAAATTAGAGCAGAATTGGGCAAAATTGGAGAAAAGTTGGAGAAAATCGGCAGAAATTAGAGCGGAATTGGGCAAAATTGGAGAAAAGTTGGAGAAAATCGGCAGAAATTAGAGAGGAATTGGGCAAAATTGGAGAAAAGTTGGACAAAATCGGGACAAAAGAGACCAAAAGTGGCACAAATTAGAGAGGAATTGGGCAAAATTGGAGAAAAGTTGGAGAAAATCGGCAGAAATTAGAGCGGAATTGGGCAAAATTGGAGAAAAGTTGGACGAAATCGGCAGAAATTAGAGCGGAATTGGGCAAAATTGGAGAAAAGTTGGAGAAAATCGGCAGAAATTAGAGCAGAATTGGGCAAAATTGGAGAAAAGTTGGACAAAATCGGGACAAAGGAGACCAAAAGGGGCACAAATTAGAGCGGAATTGGGCAAAATTGGAGAACAGTTGGAGAAAATCGGCACAAAAGAGACCAAAAGTGGCACAAATTAGAGCGGAATTGGGCAAAATTGGAGAAAAGTTGGAGAAAATCGGCAGAAATTAGAGCGGAATTGGGCAAAATTGGAGAAAAGTTGGAGAAAATCGGCACAAATTAGAGCGGAATTGGGCAAAATTGGAGAAAAGTTGGAGAAAATCGGCACAAATTAGAGCGGAATTGGGCAAAATTGGAGAAAAGTTGGAGAAAATCGACAGAAAATAGAGCGGAATTGGGCAAAATTGGAGAAAAGTTGGAGAAAATCGGCACAAATTAGAGCAGAATTGGGCAAAATTGGAGAAAAGTTGGAGAAAATCGGCAGAAATTAGAGCGGAATTGGGCAAAATTGGAGAAAAGTTGGAGAAAATCGGCAGAAATTAGAGCAGAATTGGGCAAAATTGGAGAAAAGTTGGACAAAATCGGGACAAAGGAGACCAAAAGGGGCACAAATTAGAGCGGAATTGGGCAAAATTGGAGAAAAGTTGGAGAAAATCGGGACAAAGGAGACCAAAAGTGGCACAAATTAGAGAGGAATTGGGCAAAATTGGAGAAAAGTTGGAGAAAATCGGGACAAAGGAGACCAAAAGTGGCACAAATTAGAGAGGAATTGGGCAAAATTGGAGAAAAGTTGGAGAAAATCGGCAGAAATTAGAGCGGAATTGGGCAAAATTGGAGAAAAGTTGGACAAAATCGGGACAAAGGAGACCAAAAGGGGCACAAATTAGAGAGGAATTGGGCAAAATTGTAGAAAAATTGGACAAAATCGGCGCAAATTAGACCAAAAGTGGCACAAATTAGAGCGGAATTGGGCAAAATTGGAGAAAAGTTGGACAAAATCGGGACAAAAGAGACCAAAAGGGGCACAAATTAGAGAGGAATTGGGCAAAATTGGAGAAAAGTTGGACAAAATCGGCACAAATTAGAGCAGAATTGGGCAAAATTGGAGAAAAATTGGAGAAAATCGGCAGAAATTAGAGCAGAATTGGGCAAAATTAGAGAAAAGTTGGAGAAAATCGGCAGAAATTAGAGCAGAATTGGGCAAAATTAGAGAAAAGTTGGCCAAAATCGGCAGAAATTAGAGCAGAATTGGGCAAAATTGGAGAAAAGTTGGACAAAATCGGGACAAAGGAGACCAAAAGTGGCACAAATTAGAGCGGAATTGGGCAAAATTGGAGAAAAGGCCAAAATCGGCAGAAATTAGAGCAAAATTGGACAAAATTGGAGAAAAGTTGGACAAAATCGGCACAAATTAGAGCAGAATTGGGCAAAATTAGAGAAAAGTTGGACAAAATCTCCAGAAATTAGAGCAGAATTGGGCAAAATTAGAGAAAAATTGGCCAAAATCGGCAGAAATTAGACCAAAATCGGCACAAAAGAGACCAAAATTGGCAGAAATTAGACCAAAACCGTTCAAAATTTAACCAAAATTGGCCCAAATCGGCACAAATTAGACCAAAATCAGCACAAATTAGACAAAAATTGGCCAAAATCGGCACAAATTAGACCAAAATCGGCACAAATTAGACCAAAATTGGCCAAAATCGGCACAAATTAGACCAAAATCGGCACA